CAAAATAGCGAGTTGTTTCATCACGTTTATTTCGACATCCAAGTGAGACAGAGACGGAAGACTGGAAGTCTTTGCTCTTGTCTTGTAAGTGATCAGAACATTGCATTGAGTAGAAAGATACTTTCCTATTTTTTTCTAACTAATATACAATCTAAAAAATAATTAACAAACAAGAAAAGTAAGAAGAGATTTTCTAATTATATGTATTTATTTTGAAAAAAAACACCCTGTTTTTTCCACAGGCAGAGATAAACTAGAATAGAAAAAGAGTGATTACTACTATAGTAGCAGAAATAGCACTACTTGAGAATCTTTTAATTTTTTATTAAAAAAAAAAGTAAAACTATTGTATACAGTATTTCAGTATTACATTTTAATATCATTTGCTGATGAACAAGAAATATATCCTTGCTTGGATAAGCTGAAGATGAAATATTAATTTTGTTTCCTGGTTATTGGTTATTTATAATTTATGTTGTGAGGAAAGAGCAGCAATCATGGATGAGTACTGCCACTTGCCTAATGTCTGTGGTTCAGGAAAGACCTATTAAATGAATAAATTACAACTTCCTGCTCTGAAAGTTCACTGGAAACAATTCTGTATGGTATTAAATTTCTAACATGTAGTCTTTTCATAAATGAAATTTTTTCTTAAAAGTAAAATGTATTTCAATAAGGCTGGCACCAAGTACAAGCTTATTACATGATGTTCTGCTGAGCTAAACTTGCCCTTTACTTCAGAGGGTAATTGTAGCAAGCTGTATGGACTGATTGCCCCCACCCTCTGCCAAACTAAAAATTCAGGGGTAGAATTTTGTACGTTCAGTGAGTAACTCCTAAAGTTTTCCTTTTGTAGTTTGTTATGTGTTTTCCTGACAAAAGCTTACCAAGAGTCTTGAGAATTGTAACTCTTAACTTGAGATTTTTGATTGACTCTAAATCCTAAAATTGAATTTCTTGTGCAAAAATATACCTGTAACTCTCTGGCTATTGTGAATAAAATGTATGAAGTTTTATCTTCACAGAAACAATACAAGAAAGACTTGGAAACTGAAATTAAAGGGAAGGGCATGCAAGTTGGTCCAGATACTCCTGAGATAAGACGAGTGAAGAAAGCTTCTGAAATTGCAAGCATGGTCAGTACCATACCTGGTGCAAGCTTTCCATTTGACAGAATGCAACAAATTATTGTCATTGAGAATTCCAGGTGCCGACCAATCTAGGCAGTAGCAATACCACAAATTTCACCAAATACCTAATCTGTTGAGCTGTATAGAGTCTAAAAGTTGCATAATTAGCATATGGGGGGAAAGTTAAGACTCCTCAGAACTTTGACATTTCCATCACCTTTTGCAGGTTGTGCTTGTTCCTCATGAACCATGCCTGGCCTGGCTGTGTTCAGTAGCTGTGGACTCTACTGGTTTTAGGTCTAAATAGCTGCTTGTTTAGTTAGGACCAAATGATAAACAGAGTTAGAGGGATGCTAAAGCCTCATGACCCCGTCTTGCAAAGCACGGCTGAGGGAGAAAGTCTCGTCTACATGTGTCTGTGATTGTGGCTGTCAAAGCTGCAAAGACAGGTAGATGTGAAAGGCCACATCAGATTTGAAGTAAGCAGTCTGTTAAAAGAATTTTTTAACTGGTCAGCAGCTACAGCATAGGTGTCTCGTAGATAGATCCTACAAAAGTAGTCCCGTTGAATCAAAAGTTATCTGGTGTTTTAAGAATGCTGCTCAGTGGAACCGCACAGTAGGAACAATTTAAGAATTTGGCTGTCAGACGTATTTCCAATGCTGTTCTTTTCAGAAAGAATACAAGAAAGACTTGGAGAACGAAATTAAGGGAAAGGGAATGGGAGTGGGCATGGATACCCCTGATATACAACGAGCCAAAAAAGCTTCTGAAATTGTAAGCCAGGTGGGTAGAGAATGAATCTCTTAAGATTACTTTGGAAATAAACCACAATGAGATGTTAAAAGCATAAAATCTTCTCAAACATACTTGGGCTAAAGGGAATAAGCAGTGCACAATAAAAACATTAAATTAAAGAAACTGAAGAATTTATTTTAAAGTCTGACCAGTACTGTCAGAATAGCTTTGAAGACAGCATGTACAAATAACTGTAGAATGTGTTATGGGTTTTTTCCTTCTTTTTTCCTCAGAAAGAATATAAAAAGGATCTGGAGACTGAAATTAGAGGAAAAGGGATGCAAGTTGGCCCATATACTCCTGAAATACAACGGGTCAAAAGGGCTTCAGAAATAGCAAGCAAGGTAGGCATAGTTCAAAGGCTGAATGCTTTAATTCTCTGTAACAGAGTGCTTGACGTACGTTGTTCAAAATACTTCTTCTCTAGCTCTGTAGAGGCTTTCATACCTATATTAAATTAATTTACATGTAGTAAGAGTTCTTACTGCCTGATCCTTATTTGTATTTAGGCGGGTCACGCCATGTAAATGGAATTTAATTGTTTACACTTACTTGCAGGTCTTTTTACATTACCTAATGAGAAGGTTACATATATCCTGACAGTGAAGGGAAAATATATCATACATTTGAGAATATATTTTATATATATATTATATATTTTCAGTGTGGGACACAGTGTCAGATGTTCCACACAGACAATGATAACAATATGATGGAGGAGAGAGGTAGAAATAAATACTGTACAAGGATGTTGATGCTCATCAGCAGTAAGCAGCTTTTGTTGCAATTTGGATATTCTGAGGCCAAGAAAGCAGGAAATAGACATTTTAAAATTGTTTTTCAGAAAATGTACAAAGATGAAGCAGAGAAGATGCTCTGTAACTATTCTGCTGTGCCAGACACACCAGAGATGGAGAGGATAAAAAGTACTCAGAAAAACATCAGTTCAGTGAGTAATAGTGCTTCTCTCTTCACTTGCAACTTTTCAGATATTTTTCAGTTTAAATAGGCTCTCTTGTGCCACAGCATGAAATAGGGAACTTATGAGTAAATGTCCATTGAACCATTTGCATAATTTTCCTGGCAAAAGCTGTATCACTCATTTCTTTCAGTAAAAAGTATACCCAGCTCTTCTAGGTGTGACACTGTTATTTTGAATTGCTAAACCACTTATACCACCTTGCCAAGCCACAGTTATTTTTAAATTAAGATTTTTTTTTTTTTTTTCTTTTTCCATCAAGCCCCAGGAAGCACTTTATTGAAAAGGACAAAAAAATCTAAGGCTTGTTACTGTGCATATAAGACTTTTCATCTGTTTCCTATCATATGTACAGAACATCAAGATTTGGGTATAAAATCAGAACAGATCAGGCTTCATAAATATGTATGTCTAATGATTTTATGTTATACTGGATATATTTTTTAATTTTATGCTAGATTTAAGTTTCAGTTTATCCCTAAATATAAATTATGATCTTAGATTTCTAAAATTGCCCAGTTTGGGATGCATTCAGTTCCATTTTCTTTTTGGGCCCATTAATTCTGCTGTTTGTAGTCTTGGCTTTTCTTGTAATATAACAGAGAAGAGGAGTAAATATAGCCTCCGGAACCAAAGGCTGTCCAGTTAGTGTCTGTATTTTATGGCAGACTAAGTAATACTAGTAAATCCAGTGATTTGAGAGAAAGGAATATAAGTTACTTAAATATTTTAGTATAATCTGACACAGGTGTTGATCTTTAACTTAGAGATATTCTCAGCTTCTCCAACTCTGCACAAGTACAAGGCCAGTTAGTTCCTCTCAGAGGTGTTTACCTGCAGCTATCCTGTATCACTGCGTCTTCACTACGGGAGTAATAGCCTGTGGAGAGAGGAGAGAAGAAAAGTCTCTGAGGCTGCTCGAGGCACTGGTTTCTCCTGTAATGTCTTGCAGCCATTACTTGCTCCTTTTCTTCCTTCAGATGAACGCAGCTGAAAGCTACGTCTTCCTAATAGAAGCTGTTGACAGGCCCACTGGCCCCAATTTTGTTTCTTGTAGTCTGTTGCCTCTTGGTTTCAAATGGTGCTCTGCTGCACGGTGTGATGGTCATTAGCACCGTATCTCATGTCACTGGCATCCTAACATGCTACATGGAAACTCCATTTAACAGAGGGGATCCAAGCTGGCCTCTACTGATCTGCTTTCTTCCCTGCTCCAGTGTTTGATAGCTTTTCATGAAGTCCTCAAATAGGTCAGCGAGTCTGGCAGTGTAGACTCACTAACAGTTAGATACCAGGCATATAATAATCTTCCACTACTTGATTAAGCCTTGAGAAGCCTCTGATGCATCTGAACCCCTTGCAGCCCTGTAGGCCAGTCTGAGCTTTCAGTGCCAAGGCTGACAATTATCCTCTTTGTTAGTGCACTAGATAATATGAAATAAAAATATTTTATCTTTGAGGTGATTTGTATTTGCTTTATTTTATGATCATCTTTTTTCTATTTCTCAACTGGATCCTCCAGATGTAGCAAAGCAGTTTATAGCTGCAGTTGAATTATCATTTTTTTTTCTTTCTTTATATTTTAATCTTTCAGCATTCTGTGCAACTTAGATTGTATAGGTAAGTTACTTTTTACTAAGTTAAGATATAGCTGGGAGCAGCCCCAATTTAAAAAAATTAATGACCACTAATAGGCTACTGATTTTTGGATTTCGTCTCAAGTATTTTCCTGCCTTAAGGGGCAAAAAAAGTGTCTACCTCTGCAGATAAGATCAGCGCTGCTTTCAGCTCACTAGCTCATTTGGCAGATGATTTACAATAGGATATTTACTGCACGGTCATCTCTCTCATAGGAAAATTGCAGGCTCCGACACTTTTTACCACTCCCTCCTTGGTAGGGGAGAAATGTATATTTTAGTTCAGTCCAATATGTAAGTCGTTCTACCTTGTACTGACATGTTGGTGCAGAAGAATTTTCAAGTTCATACTCATAAACTGTCTCTGTTCTCACATGGTAAAACAAAATTCTAAATTGTTAAAGGTTTTCTGAATATTTAAAAAATGATTTGTGGACATAAATAATTCACTCCCCTCTAGAATATTTGGCAGTACTAGTCACCCTAGGTTACAGGGGACTTCAAGGAAGTAGAAGAAACGCATCAAGAATGATGCTTTATTCTTTAAGGTTTGTTGATAGGAAAAAAAGAAGTTAAACAAATCTTGGTTTAAGAAAGGCAGAAATACTAAATGGTAAAGATTTATTTTACAAACTCCAGGGTCAGACTTGTTTTTACAGTACCAACCTGGAAATACTTACTGGAATGGCAACAGCTGTGACACCAAATACTGAAATTCAAATAAAGCTTCTTTAGGAGTTTTGGAGTGTGAACTGGTACTCCATGGTTATTGAAATTATAGCCACATTTGGAATTTGTGGAGCAGTTATTTACTGTCTCTTTCAGTAACTTTGAATGATTGATTCTACTGATGCACTTTGTGTTTTATTCTTTACTGAAACAATTGAAACAGAGAGGAGAATTATATTAACAGCATGTGTATCTTTTCAGAAGCGAGCTTTGGCTTTAGATGCAGTCTTCAGCTTTCTGGCTTGAACTTGAAGACAAAAATTGTGTGACTTGGACTGTAGCTCTGACTGTTCTGGTTATTTTGTCATTAGTATGTCAATTTTCTAGTTTGTTAAATTAGAAATAATAGTATCTGTTCACTTCTCAGAGTATTTGAAGATCTGAAGATTAAAAACCCAAGTCAAATCTTGCATGTGCATACACATTCAATTACATTGAAATGAATGAGATTACTCAAGCATGAAGTTGCATTTGTAAATGTTTATAGATTATGATCTAAATTTTAATATTATTTCCAAAGTTAAAACTGTCATTACAAATACTTACAAATGTTTGAGGTCAGTCTAAAGGATGATAATGGATTATCTGGGTTACAGTTGAAAACAAACAGAATATTATTATAGTTATTGATAAGTGATCTGATTTATGAAAAATTAAAGTATTTTCTTTCTTAGCAAGATTTATAGTCAGACCAATTTGGAATTTGGAAAATTGCCCGGCCCTTTTACGAGCACTTGTACTTGCATTGCTAACAGTCTTGTAATTACTTTTTCTTTTGGGGAAATGAAGGTGTTTTATAAGGAGGAAGTAGGAGCTGGCACAGCTGTAAAAGAGACTCCAGAGACTGAGAGAGTAAAGAAAAATCAACAGAATATTAGTTCGGTAAGTGTTATTAACATTAATTATTCTTACATGAGTAGATGGTGGTCAAATTTTTTTTCCATCTTGTTTACTAAAAATTCTACGTTTTCATATCACACTTCTCATTCAAATACTAATCCACTGGATTTTGGACATAGAGGTCCATTTTAGTAGAGTTAGAGCTCCACTCTAGTATAGTTCTGTGTCTAAAGGCAGAGTTTCAAATTGGAGCAGCGTGAAAAATAGGAAAAACTTTTAGCTCAGTATTTGAGCAAAGAGTTTTGTCTTTCAGGAGTGAGAAACATGAAATGTATTTCCTGATATGACAGACTGAAAAGCAGTTATAGTTTGTAATTTAGAAAAATATTGTATCACAAAAAAGAAAATCTGTAAAGTTCCTGTAGAGGCTACATGTATTACATAGGAGTTGGTACAGTTTGCACTTCAAGAAGAGGAAGATTATGTCCAGACTCAAGCTATGTGAAAAGGTGGAGGGTTTGTGCCTCTCTACATGCTGGTGACAAGTTGATCTGTGGATCTGATGAGACTGGTTCTGAATTAATGTTATTTATCTATGATTGCCCAATGTCTTTGGCACTTTAATGGGTAACTAAAAATAAAATATCTAAATGAGAGTTTTCTACAAGTAGAACATGCTCTTCTGATAATTATGTGGCAAAACTTAGAAAAAAGTGGAAGAGTAACTGCCAAGCTAGAAAACATTTGTAGCTGCATTGTTCACTTGTATTGAGTTTTTGGTGTGGAGTCCTCTGTGGCCATTTTTATGTTTGTGACATGACTTTTCTGATGATTAGATGCTTTTGAAAAAGTAAAATTTGAAAGTAACTCATAGACGTGACACTAGATTGTGTTTAAATATTAGTTGAAATCCAAATTAGAGAATCTGGAGACGTATTCTGCTCGAATTTGCTTGTTTACTGAGTAGCGTTAAGTACTGGATTTCCCACCAAAGTAAGGTCAGGTAGGGAATTTCCATAAAATTTTGAAAAACTCCTATTTTCCTTGGAATTTTTCTTTGCTCCATCCCTCACTTTTCGTCTTGTCGTTTTGAGTCACAGTGCAATTTGAAGAGTCAGTGCAAGCTATCATGTGTCCTAAATCCTGAAATAGTGTTTCTGGTTGGGAAGCAGTAGGTTTTCTTGATTTGGGGGTGCAGATTACTTGTTGTTGTTTTTTTAGTTTTTTTTTTTTTTTTGTTTGGTGCCCCCCCCCGAGGCTTATTGGGAGTAGTCTGACTGTAATGCTTTTTCTCAATACCTTTCAAAGTGAAATGGAAAAATAGTGTACAGTGTTCTTGCTGTTTTAGAAATCCTAAACAGCCACGAAGAGGGGAAAATGAAAGGTGGATCAGTGTGCTAGTAAACACACTGGAACAAAAGCGTATCAAGAGAAACACAAAACGCATTAGTGGTTTAGTGGTATGATGTAAGTAGTGTGACCTTTAACTTGCTACTCTGTGTGTAGAGTTAATATTTTACAGTAGATATTTTATTACATGTAGTGTACTTGAGATTACTTAAGTCTTGTATAATATTTATTAAAAGTGTAGTATGCCAAATTTAAAGGCAATGTGCAAGAAAGTTTTAAATTATATGTCAGTAAGAGGGAAATTATATTGTGCAGTGAAAGGGGAAATGATATCGTGTAATTTACAGAGTCCCAAAAGAAGGGTAAATTACACCAATTTTGGCTTCATTAGATTTAAATATTTTATACATATCTTTGAATTTAGCCAAAAGGACTTAGGACAGCTTTAAAACTATTTGCTGAGCTGAATGTAACTATGGAATATGAAGCACATCTGCAGTGCGAAAAAACCCAGAACACCAAACCAAAATAACATTCATTGTACAACCAAACCATGCAAAAAAAGTCCATCGCATCATATTCTGAACGCGATCAGATTCTTCCAGATGACATATTGGAGACCAAGATCAGAACAGTCTGTTTTGAAATTCTAAAAAACAAGGTGGTGACAGCCAAGGAGGTTGAGCTCATCTCACCTGTTGTGCTGATTGGTTTGGAAGAAGCAGCCTCCAAAATAGTTGGGAGTCAAGATTTCACAGAACTTTAAAAGCAAACGTCAGACCCATGGGCTGTAAATGAATCTGAACCAAGAAACTACTAATAACTAAGGATGTTTTAAAAACTTGTATTGAGGGACAGGCGGGACTGGACACAGCACTGGGAAGAAGGCTTTTGGGGGAAGATTGTAATTGTGTTTTTGTTTGTGTGAAATCCATGAGGAAACCCCTGTGATATGTCAGTCAACACCACAAAGCCGAGGTCTGATTAAAACTCAAGCAATGGACCGTTTGAACCATTTTAAGGACTAGTAGCACTGCCAATTCTTAAACTTACCTAATAGTCTCTATTAAAAGACCCTTTTTTCCAGTGGTTTAGTACTTCTGCCAGTCCTAAACTGTCTGGACTGAAATTTTGCATTCCTGATCTGCGCTTTGGGCTGGTTTGGTTTTGTTTATTTATTTATAAATTTCAGCCAAAGCAGCTTCCAAGTATGAGCTTAGAGAAAAACAAGTTGTTTTGTCTGTTAAAAAATTTGTCTCTCCCCAGAAGTACCATGTCTTGGAGAAGAGAGTTGAAAATTATCTACTAAGTGACATTTGGTACAGTGGATTTGGGAAAAAAGAGGCCAGGGTGAGGAATTGAAAGTGTAGAAGGGCTCAGTCAAAGTGGACAGGCCAAATGTGGAGAAAAACAGGCAGAGTGATGTGCTCCTGTGCATAGGTGCTTCCTTCCAGAAGAGCTGAAACAGAATCCAAGGTCGTTTAGACTCATCACTCCCTTGCTGTCAGTGTGTATCTGAGGTACCCTTGGTCAAACATTTTCCCTTTCTTTAATGATGGCATCCCTGGAGGTAACAAACTACGATTGTTCTGTTGGGTTTATGCAGTCAATCTAAACAAAACACAAGGGGCTTAAGATGAAGGCACACGAAGGAATGTACATTTGTAGTTTTTTTGATTATGAGAAATTGCCTCCCCAAGAGATTCCTTTAGGAGGTATTATGAAGGTTACTAAGTCAATACTCAAAAGCAAGAACCTGAATTTAAGTCCCTGTGTCAAGACCTGATGATACATTGCCAAAGTACGCAATTTTGTACTTTGCCATGGAGGTGGATCTGCTCTGGTTTTCTGTTTTGCAAACTACAGTTCAATGGGAATTCTCATTTGAATGCAGGTGCTATATAATCCTGTCTTTTAAAATTATGTAGCCAGATTAGCTGTTACTTGTCTATGCTCTCTAGTAAAAATAGTACTTTTCCTTGTCACAATTCCCTTTTTCCTAATTTTATAGCAAATTTAGTGAATTAATGTGTGTAAAAAACTCAGATGCTTTAGCGAAGATCAACAGAAAAGTTCGTGAAGAAATCAGTAATTCTGTCATCAAAACAGGACCTTAGAGCAGTTAACGAAAAAAAAAATAAAATCAGTTATTATCAGCATTCAAACTACTCACTAAGTAAGGATCATTGATTATGTGTAATGAATGAAGCAGAATTCTCTAGAGAGAAACAGCTTTTGCTAAAGATAAAGAAGCACTAAAAGAGGAAAAGAGTGAAGTAGTGTAAAATATATGAAAAGCTGTATATAGAGCATATTTGTACAAGGGGCAAAACTAAGGTTACATTTAAATTAATTGTGTCATTTTCTGATTTTTTGAGTCCTTGATTTTTCAGCCTTAAAATCTATTTAACAAAAGTTTTGTATGCCACATTAATATAAAACTGTACAAATTGATTCATTATGCTGTTCCCTTGTTCTTAAAGTACTTTTCCTTCCTTGAGTCTTGCTAATGAAAAATGTTTCTAACTATTACATATCATGGCATGCATAATTTTGAATGTTTTTGTGAATGTTGCTATTTTATTACCACTGTAAAGAAACAGAAAGCATGCCTGTGAGGATGGCATGGTCTACAAATATTGTTTATTTCATGGTGGCATAAGAGATTTGAAGGTACTGACACTGGACAGATATTTAGTAACAGACAGTAAGGCAAAGACAGTGCACAGATTCGTCCAAGATGACCCATTTGGATAGCACATGGAAAACCAGAAAATATGATGCCTTTCTTTTTAGTACCACATCAACTTAACCTTACAATTCTTTCTCATTAAGTTGAATTCCAATTTTGGTACGTATGATGTATAATTGAAGAAATTCTGTTTCTTTGCATTTTTCAAATTATGGAGTCTACCATATACAAACATACTGCTGTTTAGAAGAGATTAAAAGTGGCAAAAGCAACAGTAAATATCTGACAGCATCTTCAAAAGCATCATCCATCCAAACATCTGCATTTTTCCTGATGTGTCTGTGTGTGTTTTTAGAGAACTTGAATGAGACTTTGAAGTCATCCACCCTTTTAAGAGCACATCTGTGAAATGTTTGGTTTCTGAAATGGACTGGTGGACTCTGTAGCAAGATAATAGCAAGACCAAGCCATTGTCAGAGTGTTGCAGATCTCCAAGTTGTATGTGCAGTATCCCAATTATCATGAAGATAGCCACAATCCATTATGATGTGTATGCCCACTGTAAGGGTTTTAGGATACTAGGCTTGTTATGTGCACTCTCTGCTGTGTTGTATCAAACAAGGTGCATTGGAGACCCTAGCAGCCTGTTTCAGAAATTAAATGTAACTGTTACTTTTCAGGTCAATAGTGTTGATAGGTGTGGTCTACCTGTGCAGTATGTCTAAGGGAGAGATTACACAATGTTTGCTGTGTTTTAGTGGTTGTCTGTATCTTCTTTAAATTGCTAATATTTTGTAATATTTATTGTGCAGATTAAATACAAGGAAGAAATTCAGCATGCAACAACTATTTCTGATCCACCTGAACTAAGGAGAGTTAAGGAAAACCAGAAGAATATTAGCAATGTGTGCCCCATTTTCATTGCTTACACACTTCTCTCTGCTCTATTAAATGTGTTTGTACCTCAGTGAATATGTCTGTGGTGTTTGTGCTAGTTCCTGTTTGTCCACAAAGAACTAATTTAATCGATTAATGGTAAAATGATAACTCCTTAGACTTGCACTTTGATTAACATCAATGAGAGGTGAAGTATTCCTGTTGAAGTATCAGTTGTCTGTGTCTGAAATAGAAGAACTGCAAGAAGGTGAGTACTAAGTATCACGTGGAAAGATGTGGGTGTTTATTAAGGAGTGGTATTTTCCATCCAGATGCAGCATGCTCTTTAATGATATCTAACACACTGTTGTATTTCTGTTACTTGGAAGTCTCTGTGTAATATCTTCTGCCATGTTTGCTAGATTCAGTACAAAGAACAGCTCTGCAAAGCTACACCTGTGAGTGTCACCCCTGAGATCGAAAGAGTCAAGAGGAATCAAGAGATTATCAGCATGGGAAGTTGCTCTTGTTTAATCCTCTGTATAATTTTTGTGTGGAGAGAATGAGCACAAAGTTCTACCTCCAGAAGCTGTGCCTTTTCTTTAGTTAGGTGTGGGCTTAGTAATGGGATTACTTGAAAACGCTCTTCTGGGAAGCAATTGTGAAAAGCCATTGCTTGGTTTGAGAAAAGGCGCACGAAGCATCACATATTTGAATAAAGAAATGGCTGTGATGTTTTGAAATGTTATTCTCTGTCTTGGATGTTTTCAGGAAAACTTGTGATTTCTTTTTTTTTAAACAGAATATCCTTTTCTGGCTTTTTTTTTTTTTTCTCTTTGCTTTGTAAAAAATTGGCTACAGTTATGCTCAAACTCCAGCTGTCTTACCTGTCTCTTTCTGGTTCCTCAGTAACCTTCCTATCAGAGTTTAATATTTAATGGCTGACATAACCGTTAGAAATACTGTTTGCAGGAGCACAGGGAAGAAGGCAAGGACTTTTGGAGCACGCTGCTGCCTTCCTGCTTTGTTGAAGTTGTACCCCGTTAATGAGTCTCTGAGAGACCGGCCGTTCTCCTCACTGGGAACTGCCTTCAGCAGCTCTATTTCATGGGGCTACAGATAGCTACAGTGTTTCCCTGGGGTATTTTCTGCAAGGTTCTCCAAGTTAATTTAGAATCACAGTTTTCAAGAGTACTATCCCTCTAACTTAAGTGTATACTATTCCTGGATTTATGTTGATAAACCTAGCTCTCCTAAAATGCACGCTGTTCAAACAAACCTGTTTTCCCAAGTGAATCAAGCCAGTCTCTGTAGTTGTTCTACTCGCATCATTGTTTACCTTTCAGCAGTTTTTGTGTTGTGCGAATTTCATTGGAAAGTTTAAATTCTCTTTCAGGTCGCTGAAATAGCTTTGGGCAGAGATTCTTTAACTTCAGATATTTCTAGAAACTTTAGGTCTTGAATAATCATTTTACCTTTACAAATGTCAGTGTGCAGGTTTAATCCATTTGATAGCTTCCTGTAATTTTAGATGATGTTAATTTTTCCATTGGAATATGTTGATGTGGACAGACCGAAAGTATATTGTGCGGGAAGACAATTGCTTGAACAATATGTACGTTACTGCTGCAGTGCACTGCAGAATTATGAGCATAATCTATCAGTACAGTTATCCTTATCACAAAAAACCAAGAGCTTTTTTTAAAAAAAAAAAGGTTTGTATGGAAACATTTATTTTACATAAAACTATATGGATTGGCATAAATCATGCAAGAATCTCTAATTATTTACTAAATGTTTACCATATCTGACTTCCCAGTATTTGGGGCCAGGGTTAATGTTAAATTGTTCTGTCAGTGCCACATCCTATCTTTTATCCTCATTAGATACTGATCCTGCCTTGAGTGTGCATTTAGTTAATGCATCATTGCTGCAAGTGTATTTTGTTAAAAAGCGATAGAGGGGATATTCCTACAGTACACTTAAATAAACAAATGGTGAAATTTAGGCAGTTGGATTCAATTGGCAGTTGTCTGATGTATTGCACCCACTGTGTTTAATCACCTTTGAATATATAGAGTATAAAAGTTCAAACATGGATGGTATCCTTATGGAATCTCTGTGTCTGGACAAACACACATTTACAGTGGGCATTGCTGAAAATCAGTTTTTCCTGTGCTCTGCTTGACTTTACTGTATTATTTCTAGTTTACCCCATTCCAAATATAAGATATTTCTCTATACAGCCAAGGACCAGTGTGGTAAATATCAAGACGCTGTGTGCATATGTGTGTATATATCCACACAAATACATTAATAAGAAGACTATACAGAAAGTATTCAAGGTTATGCTTCAAAAATCAAGTTTTGTAAGCTTTAATAAACTTCAAATGCATTTTAGCTTTTCAGTTGTTTCCTGTATGACCTTTTAAATCATACATTTTAATGTAAAACATTGTGATATTGCTTTAGCTGAAATAGTATGTACATTTTATTCTGTTAAATAATAGGTTCACTACAGAGAGCAGCTTGGCAAAGCTACTGCTGTGAGTGTCACTCCTGAGATAGAGAGAGTCAAGAAGAATCAAGACAATATCAGCTCGGCAAGTTGTTTGAATCTCTTTGTCATTTAGATTTTCAGTTATTGTAGGAATATAACAAGGATATGCTTTTCCATTTAGGTTTGATGTGTCAAATGACACATGGATTTTTTTTTCCTTTGGTTACATGCACTGCACATATAGGCAACAAAAATACTCAGACTTGCCTGATGATTCTTGCAAAAGAATTGGTTGTGTTGGCACCAGTATTTTTCAATTAGAGAGTCAGCAGTCATTCTTTCAAGAATCTTCATCTCTTGTTACCAACTTTTAGTTACTAGGTTGCAGGAGTAAATTACAATAAAGAACAAAGGAAATAGAATTTAACTTTAGTGCAAATTTCATTTTTGTTATGATTCTAAGCACGGAAGCATATAGTCATCCTGTGACATGCCACCTATGTTACAGCTAAGTAGTCCTAAATAGATCCTATTACTAAACACTGAAGAGTAAAATACTATATTTTTCTTGACTACAGTGGTGTAAGAAGCAGCAGACATTTCTAGTAAGGAACAAGGAAGAGGTCAAAACAGCATGGTGAAGTGAAGGACCAGACTAGTTATATTACAGTCTGTGTCCTCAAAAGTGAATCAACATCAGTGATAAAGCCCCTGCAGATGGTAAATAGAACAGGTTTCCTGCACAGCCACTGTTTCATGGTGGCAGAAGAGAATGAATAGTAGTGAATACTTTAGAACTGAGTGTAGGATTCAAAAGTAAAGTAGGTTGGATTTGTCAGAGGATTTGTCTAAGGACAAAGGAACATCTGACCTTGTAACTACATATATCTTAAGTACATTCTTAAAATGCTCATGCATATTTACCAAAGTCAGTTAGTTTTGAGGTGCATAGTTAAAAATAAGAGGAAACCATCCCAACAATTCTAGACTTTAAATAATTTTTTTATTTTGAAAATTATTTCTTTATTTCTCAGGATTTACAGGGATAAATACTCCTCTGCGTTAATGAGCGGTAGATGAAACTCAGACTCTGTTGGCTGTAATTATTCTGTCCAGAAAATGCCTTATGTTCAAAAGCATATGTAGCCAAATATATTTGCTAAGAAAATTTATTGTTTAATTAAAAAAGATTTGAAGAATATGCAGTACTACATATTTCTGTTTCTCTGTACATTACTTCAAACTTATCTATGAAACGTACGCACCAAGACTCATAGTTTCATAGGTATGTTGTGCTTAGCTAATATGCAACTGTAAAGAGCGTTAGACAATTTCAGTACTTGGTGAATTCTCATCACAAACGCATATTGAAGTAGATTTGCACAACTTATTTGAGAGGTAATACTTTGAGTGTGAACATATAGGTAAATCTAAAATATTTACTAACACTCAGTGCACAGGTTACAATGCAATGTAGGCACTAAGAGAGTCCATTAGTAGAAGAATTCAACCAGCTGGCAGAAACTGTAAGACTACTCACTCTAGAACCAACAAGTAGGACCAACTATTACTGGTTTAGAATTTTTTTTTTTTTTTGTGGAGGGTGCCTTTTTTTTTAAAAAAAAAACCCAGATAATTTACCTTGTATCTTTGTAAGTCTCTAAAATGCCACAAAACAAGCTAATTGGGAGAAATGTGCCATAGGAGATTCTGTATTTACTGATGCACAAAACAGAGAGCCCAAATGTTCTCTTTGAAAACAGTATATTCAGATTTGTCCTGGACATGTTGCTTTTGTGCTGCGAGCAAAGACTAGCTACTGAACAGGAGTAAGAAGGCTGCCAAAGTACTAATCCTCTTGTAAGAGCTGAATTCCCTGAGGAGCAAGGGGTTTTCAGCTAACCGCAACCTGGAAGCAGACTGTGAGGACAGAATCTGAGTCTGTCTGGGTAATAAGAAGGTAGCTTATCATCAGCCATACAAATATCTTTTAAAGATGTCCAAGTCACAGTGCTGTTTTCTTATTACTTATCTTATTTTTTCAGTTCTTAAGCTTTCAGGTAAATACTATTGGTTTTGAGTAAGTGATTGATGGAATAGATGTGCCCTTCGGCCTTACCAATATACTAGCTCATGTGTATCCTCCCTCTGAAATAAGTTACTAGAAAATGAGTGTGAAGAAAGAAACAAGAAAAACGTTGGGCATTGTGATTTGGAAAGGATACCGTTGCAAGGTGTGATTCTCACCATCCTTTCTACTGTAAACAAAAACTTCATGTGTGCTGTTACTGTTTTGCAGGTCAAATACAGCAGTGATCAGAGGCAGATGAAAGGTAGACGTAGTGTGCTTCTAGACACACCTGAGCTAAGGCATGTCAAAGAAACACAAAACAACATCTCAATGGTAGGGTACTTTCTTCCTATAAGTAGAGTATACTAAGGAATGGCACTTGACTTCCACTGGATTTTGCCTTACATTAATATAGGTAACTAATGAAACTTTCTACTCAAGTATGGAAGGAATATTTTCTTCTTATGCCTGTTGAAGAAGTGTTTGCTAACTGCATATGACTGTAATGAACATTTTCAAAATACTAATAAACAGTTTTCTAACAGTTAAATGTCTGTTATTTTGTTTGTTTTTTTTTTTTTATTTAAAAAAGTACACACCTCATTTGAGCATCACACCATTTGACTGGATTAGGTGACACACTTCACCTTGTGCCTGTGCACGTTCCTGGTTTTTTGTGTGACTTTTGCTCTTGGAATGAGTTGTTTTGTGTGAATTTGCTTGTGTGAGAATGTTTGTCAATTTAATACTTTGATGAATAAGAGTATTTAAAAAGTAAATATGCATAATCAGGGATACTACCTTTGTAGCTCTTACTAATACTGGTTTTGTTCCAACACTTGGTTATATAACTGTTTGTACCCTAATATCTATGTTTATAATTTCTTTTTTTCTTTTTCTTTCTTTTTTTTTTGGTGTGTTTTTTTTTTTTTTTTTGGAAGGCAGGCTGCTTAGAATAACTGCAATCCTTTCTAAAAACCTATGTTTAAAGTCAGCTGCCATATGATAAAACAAAGGAGCAAAAGAGTACCTTTGATATGCAACTGTGCATATAATCAAAATTCTCAGTGAATGAAAATACTTGAATTCTTTAGAACTATTACTGCTGGAACATTTTTTACTGACAGATGTAGTTGTCTACATCAGTAGAGAGCTATCCTGTCTTAGAGAAGAAAGCAATGGTCCAGATGACCTCCTGAGGGCTTTTCCTGTCCTGACTGTAAGATGATGCTTTGCTGCTTGAGTTAATGCCTAATTCAGTGGTAATGGAAAACAAATGCAAAAATGATAATAAAATATCAGGAAATCAAGTTAGGGAAATAGAAAAGACTTGACTGGCCATCCAGCCTATCTCTTATGTGTAACAATTCTATTATGGTGCAAAACCCAAAGAATATAAGTGCCTCATAAAACAAATGTATGCATTACTGCATAGTGTAAACATTTGCTGTCAGTTGCAGCTTGGGGAAAAATGTAATAATTCTTGTTTTCCTAGGTAAAATACCATGAAGATTTTGAGAAGACAAAGGGCAGAGGCTTCACCCCAGTGGTAGATGATCCTATAACAGAGCGTGTGCGGAAAAACACCCAAATTGTGAGTGATGCAGCATATAAAGGCGTGCATCCACATATTGTTGAAATGGATAGAAGACCTGGAATAATTGTTGGTAAGTTATTAAACACTGTTGCTATTGAAAACACTGTGGGGAAGATGAAAGCTTCTGCTTGTGTTCTCCATTATAACCAAGAAAAAGCACTCTCAGATTTCGTTGTCACTCTTTTCTCAGCATGAAACTTGTGTTGAACTACTGATTCAATGCCAGCTTCTAGCGAAGTAATAATGGGAATGAATGGGAGATACGTTATCATTTGCTCTGTAACTTTCTTTTGGAAATAGGGACAGTCATTGTTATTACTTTGTTTGAATTTTCGCCCTTCAATAAAGGCCAAAATATCTGCAATAATCTTCATTTGGCACAGAAGAGAGATGATTAAAGCTGTGATTCTCCAAGATTTTAATTTTTAAATGTTGCAGACCAGTTTGAGATTTCCTCTTCTGTCAGTCAGAAATTTCTCCGGAGCTGCACATGCTCCATTTACCTCTTGTTTTAGAGTTTCACACAGCTTTCAAAAATATCTCAAGCTGTAATTCATCAGTAACTCATTAGATCTCTGGTAAGCCAAACACCAGTGTTCAGAAGCGATGTTCTAAAAGATGGTCCAAGATAAGACCAGGTGTTAAGGGGGTAGAATATGGATTGGTTTTGTACGTAGAGACAAAATATTGCATTAAGATGTCATAATAAACACTACTTCAAAATCAAAATGGATATTTGAAATCTCTTAAAAGTTAGCAAGTCTGCTATGGCAAAGGAAATTGTAACCTGACATTTTTATTTTTTTCTCCTTTCCTTTTTTTTTGTTGTGTCCTTTTTTTGTTTTTTCTGTGCTTTACAATAGTGTAGACCCCAGAGGGTCTACATACGGAAAAACATGCTGAGGGAGTACTCTAAAATCCTTCATACATAGTTATAATAGCGAGGGCTGACTTTAAGTCTACCTCTCAAAAATGAGAGAAATTGCAGGTCAAATGGACTAATTGGTGGGTCGTATAGTCCATCCTCCTGCCTGAAGCGCGGTTAACTATATCTACATTGTTTCTGGCAGATGCTTATTCAGTCTTTTCCTTAAAGTCTCCAAATGAGTCTCTACCACACAAAGAAATGTATTTATTTCCTTTTGTATAGCCACCTTTTACGTGTCTGTAGCTACAGCCTTATGTCAGAAAGGATTTCTCAGAAGTGAATATTTAGAGAGCTGTGTCTGGGGAAGGTACTGATGCTTTCAAGATCACGCAAGTCTGAGTGTCGCACATTCTGGATCTAGAGCAACAACTTATTCAGAAAATCATTGTCTGTAGAGACCCAAGCACTTGTACTCACTTACATAGCTAGAAGTGGTGCAGCCGAAGAGAGAGAGAAAAGCTCCTGCAAAACTGCAGTTTAATATACCATTTGCAATATGCTGTTTAGCGCGCACTTCAAACCTCCTACTTTGTGCTGCATTGCACGTGTGCTGTAGCCCTATGTAAGTATCATGTGTGCAATCCTGTGTTCAATAGCTGAAGGCTTGCTAGCACAAACAGGTTAGGATGAAGAACATCCCTGAGATAAATTCTTGAGCTGTAAGTAGCTGAAATATTAGTAGTGTTTATCACCTTAAAATACTCCAGTATCAAAACACACAGGAATTCTTAACTCCCCATGCCCGCCAAGCAGCAAAAATAGAACAACTATTTAAAGGAAAGAGGCCATGACAAACCTGTGAGCTTAATATCTAGTGATATTTCAGTTAATGCTTTTTCAGAGTGAACTGCAATTATAATATCTGCTTGTTTAAAAAGAAGCAGTGAGCTCCCTGCTTGTGGAATGTCCTTGGCAGCTAGAAAAAAATCACAGACTGAAAAAAACAACTATGACTCTCTTGAATTTTTTCCTAGCTGATAATTGTTCAGCCAGTTAGGAAAAGTACCTCTGTGTTAGAGTCCATTTGGTTGGTTTTTAAAGTATTATCAGTGAAGCTGTAACAACTTTTTCAAATGCCTGATTGCTAAAATTAATGCCTCTGCTTTGGAAAATAGGCAGTAGTTTTAACCGTGCTAAAGCCAATCTAAACCCATCAAGATAAATTAATCTAACTGAGCTCTGGATCTGTGGCTAAAGAGGCTCCATGATTCTCACATGGGTATAAGGATATTTTAAATTGGCAAAAGTTGCCAGGAAGTTAAAATTGATTGATTCTATAAATTGCCAAGATTCTGATTCTGTGTATGTTTTTTCAAATTACAGAGATGGATAAAATCAATACAAATCAATAGCTGCTGCACTGATGCTACAATGAAGCTGTACTTACTGTATTTTTACTTACTAAGGCATGATGAAACAGGAAAAGTTGGGCTTTCACCAGTTCCCCCACCCCTGTCATGCCTGTCAGTGCTTCATGTAGTTGCATAATTTATCACCATTAGGACTAACACATAGTTTATTAAAAGATTTTGTGGTGACTTTTATTCATCTTGTCAAGAAGGAGTTAGCGCTATGCCTCACCTTATGGGAGTAGATGACACATAATGTACATACATTGAATGTATTCTAAAGCTGTGGGATTTATTTTATTAGCTCTATCTGTTCTTTCTGTTGCCTCTAGGCTATTAATCATTTGAAACATGACATATTTGGGGTCCCCACAATCCTGCTTTACCTACCAACCCATTATTTAGCTTGGTACCACTCAAACCAGCAAAAGGACTAAGTTGGGAAGACAATTATTTTTCCCGCTTCCAATGCATTGAGTAAATCTTGCAGACAGGTCTGCCCAGGAAGCAAACCACTAGTAAAAAGGTGTGATCTGGTAGATTTATGCTTTAACTGATTGTACTTTACATCAAGGTTTTATTTTAAACTGGTTTGGAGAGATTAAATTATTATTATATTTTTAGACATAGCAGGTATCATAGAACCACTTAGGTTGGAAAAGACCTTTAAGATCATCAAGTCCAACCATTAACCTGGCACTGCCAAGTCCACCACTAAACCATGTCCCTAAGCACCACGTCCACACATCTTTTAAATGCCTCCAGGGATGGTGACTCAACTGCTTTCCTGGGAAGCCTGTTCCAATGGTTGATAATCCTTTTGGTGAAAAATTTTTTCCTAATATCCAATCTAAACCTCTCCTGGCACAACTTGAGGCCATTTCCTCTTGTCCTATTGCTTGTTACTTGGGAGAAGAGACCGACCCCCTCCTCACTGCAACCTCCTTTCAGGTAGTTGTAGAGAGTGATCAGGTCTCCCCTCAGCCTCCTCTTCTCCAGGCTAAACATCCCCAGTTCCCTCAGCTGTTCCTCATAAGACTTACCCTCCAGGCCCTTCACCAGCTTGTTGCCCCTTCTCTGGACACGCTCCAGCACAAGGTCTATCTTGTACTGAGGGGCCCAAAACACAGTACTGAACACAGTACTTGAGGTGCGGCCTCACCAGTGACCAGTACAGGGGGACAATCACTGCCTTGGTCCTACTGGCCACACTGTATCTGATACAAGCCAGGATGCCATTGGTCTTTGTGGCCGCCTGGGCACACTGCTGGCTCATGTTCAGCCAGCTGTCGACCAACACCCCCAGGTCCTTTTCTGCCAGGCAGCTTTCCAGCCACTCGTCCCCAAGCCTGTAGCGTTGCATGGGGTTGTTGTCACCCAAGTGCAGGACTCGGCGCTTGGCCTTGTTGAACCTCATACAGTTGGCCTCAGCCCATTGATCCAGCCTGTCCAGATGCCTCTGTAGAGCCTTCCTGTCCTCCAGCAGATCAACACTCCCACCCATATGAATAGTATATGTTAGGTTGATGTGAGTAGATCAAGAATTTACAGTGTAGCTGCTTCTGTATTTGTTATAAGCCTCCTCTTAACTTGTATAACACTGTAATTATTTGTTAAATGTTTATTAAAACCATGGTTTAATCTGTATTCACTTTTGTGCTGTGTTTATACTCAGATATGAAATAATTATTTCTTATGAATTCTTCTTTTCTTTCAATTTCCAGTTAAGACATGAATTTAAGAGATATTAATAACTTGTGTGAATTAAAGCTGAAGATATTATGATTACTACTGTTATTGAATCCATACATTGAATTCCAAAAATGCTTTTTGATAGTGCGGTAGTAGATCAACAGTAAGTCTGTGTCCCAGGAAACTTAGATATTTGGAAGACAAAAGGAATTACTAGTTAAGGTCAAAGTGGGCTTAATTTTACCCAACTGTAGATGTCTACAATGTAGATTTCTACAGCTGAATTTGTCACCCTGGTATTTTTTGTATTCATTAAGAAAGATGGATACTTTTAACTTTATATGAATTGAGCAACTTGTAGAAATGTATTTTGGGTAAGATGAACTATGCCCCTGAATCTGCTTATTAGGCTGACTTGATCTGTACTGTATGGAAAGGAGGGCCTGTAGTGCCTCTGTCGACTGTAGAGATGTGTACTGCCAGCTGTCAGCTATAGGGATATATACTGCAGCATTTCCATGGAGTAAGGATGCTATTGGTGGACTGGGGAAATAATCTTGTCACTGATGATTTTGGCTCTTCTAGTGGAAAAGAGATCTGGTATGTGATATTTAACTTTTTTCTATTTATTTAGCGTTAAGAATATACTATGGTCATATTTAGAAAAGGAAAACAAAAATTGGGAGAAAAAATCTCCTTAAAATAATGTCAGTGTTTAAAATGAATACACTAAGTTCTTTTAAGCAGGAAATTAATGCTTTCTGGTGCTTTCAGGTGAATATCTAGATCTTTTGGTTAATTTCTAGTTGAAGAAAATTGATTGCCGATTGTTAAAACTCATTCCTTTCATGCTTTTACTTCCTTTGTTGTTTGTCTGTCTTATAATTTCTGTGCTTTGGGAAAAGATCTTAAAGTTTGGCGTACAGATCCTGGCTCCATCTTCGACATTGATCCTCTGGAGGACAATATTCAGTCTAGGAGTCTGCATATGCTTTCTGGTATTGCTTATATCCCCATTTTTCCCCAATTCAGCTTTTTATGTTTATGAAATTTAAGTTGATACAGTAAATTTTCAGGTCAATGTGCCAGCCATATGTTTTCTAAGTATGTTTTCAT